TGTGTTTAAAAACATCTATTAAGTTAAAATCTCTGCATGTTGTGAGTTCTTTCCCAGGTTTCAGTCTTTTTCTTTGGACACTGAAGGTATGTCTACATAGCAGTGTTATTTTGAAATAATGGATGTATTGCGCATCTACACAGCAAGCTCATTAAATCAAAATAATGGGCTTTTTACTCCAACTTCTGTAAACCTAATTTCATGAGGAGTAAGAGAAGTTGGAGGAAGAGTGCTCTATTTTGAAATAAGTGCTATTTAGATGGGCCCAAATTTGAAATAAGCTATTTCGACTTAAGCTACGTAATTAGAGTAGGTCAAGTTGTACAGCTTATTTCGAATTCAGCCCTGTTGTGTAGACATGCCCTAAGGGTATAGCTACACTAAAGGCATACCATCGCAGTGGGTCTGAGGTCAGAGCCACTGACTCCAGCTCACAGTGCTCACACGACAGTGCTTAAAAATAACAGCATATACATTCTCTCTCAGGCTGGGAGACATACAACCCTTGCAGGAGGGTTTCAGACTCCCAGTGGGAACATTTATATTGCTATTTGTAATGTTGTAGTCCCTATCCAAGTCTGTAGACACAGGTGCTAAGTCTCACTATCATGGCTTATGTGTGGGTGGGGTGTGCAGTATAGACTTAACCACTGGGGTAAGCCCAAGTCTGGCTCAGGTTTGAGCTTTTAGTCCCCCTTCCATCAACATACAAATCAGTCGGACTTGGATCAGCAAACACTTAGGACCTGCTCTAGAGCCCGGTCAAAGCCCAAATCCCAATGTGACTGTGGTCCAAGCACTGCCATTTTGCCTAAGACAGAGAGTCTGTGCAGTGCAGTAGGGACACAGTAGCCCAGCTCAGACCTGGACCCGGTATGTATGCTTGGACACAAACTTGGAAACCAAGCCTGAATCCCACAAACCTGGGTTTACAATACAGTGGACACTTACTCAAATTACACAATTTTATATTAATAAAAAAGATGCAGTCAGCTTACAAATGAGGGGTCTAGTCCCATGCCTCTGATTTAGATATTCATAGCACAATCCACCATGAAATCCAAGTATTGAACTTCTCCTCAAGCGCTTCCCAAGTGCTCTCAAGACTGAGAGTGACTTTGGTCATAGGCTCTTCTAGAAGACATGTGACTGGAGGTGGGAAGGAGAAAAGAGTGCTCACTACCAGACCCATTACACAGCTGATACTCTAGCCTCTGAATGCCCACATTCAGGTCCACCAAGGGGGAGGGCAAAGGGAGCAATTGCCCTGCGGGTTGAAAGAGTTCTGGATCTCCCTGCTGCCCCAGTAGCAGCAGCAGTTGGGGCCCCAGACCCCTTTGAATTGCTGCTGGAGCACTATTCTACCACTCCACGCACCTCTGAGGGCTAGAGAGGAGGGCACACCACAGTCTGAGCAGTGCTAAGGGCTGACTGTCTGGCTAAGTCTAGACTGAAAGGTTTTTGCGGGGAAAGCTCCGTAAAATGCGAAGCACATTTTGTGTAGCTTGTTCAGCTTCTTTTTCAGAAGACACTTTTCTGTCATTTGGCCCCGTCTAGACGGGGCGGGCCAAATGATGAAAAGCCTCCTCTTTCGGCAGAGCCCTTATGTCTTGTGAAACAAGGAATACAGGGCTCCCTGAAAGAGCGCATTTGCTCTTACATGAAAAAAAGCGGACAAGCAAATGCGTTCCTTGGATGTGGCGGGGAAAACCCTATAATCTAGATGCAGCCTCTGAGGCCCTGCCCCTTCTGCCTGAGACCCCACCCTTTCTGGGGGCACAGAGCTGGTCCTTTCACACCATGTTCCCTACTGACCACCATATATGCGTTAGATTAAGTTGGGAATGCAATGTTCAGCTCAGGCAGATAGCTTGATGAGAGCTAGCATGCGTATAAAAATAGATTGTGGCCCTGACAATGAGAGTAGTGGGAGGTGCTGAGTTCATGCCCGTTAGAGCTGCTAGCTATGTAGTATGGGCAGCTAGTCCTTCTCACCACTTGCACTACTGTGACTACATTCTATTTTTAGTGTCCTATCTCAGGTACCTCCCCTAGAGTGGGAATCACATCCCCAGCTCAAAGTGTAACCATTTCTTAGAGAAAAAGAAATTGTACTTGAAATTACAGGTCTGACATACCCATAAAATACAGAAGCAATTAGAGTTCAGGACAGTCTTTTTAATGGCATTATTGCTATTGCTTCAGACATTCTGATCTGAGGATTCTGCTGCTCAGGCTCACTATGAATAGGATCAGATACCACATGTTCTCACTGAAATAAATGTGACTTACTGCAGAGAAAGATGTTGCCCTCACTGAGTAAATATGGCAAGATTGGGTCTTTGTCTCATGTTGCAAAATTTCACTAATGAATTCTTTCTGGATTTTGAAAATTGAGGTATTTTATTTGGTACTAAACAAATAGAAGGGAGAGAAGTTGTATTTATCATTGCTTTCCTGCTGTCTGTGTCTGTGTCTGCATTGTTCATTTTAGAGAAATGTGTTATAAACTCCGTAAGTGCTCACCAGTTATCAGACAGATTAATTATTACGTGGGATGCACCAAAAAAGCCTATGCAACTGCGATATAAAGAAGCACCTCCAGCATCCTCACAGTGGATATTGGTGAGTAAATGAAGATTGATATCAAACTTCAGTTGAATATTACTGATTTTGCGAAACATAGTGCTGTTCCAACAGACAAAATGCTCCCTGTTAGCCACCATTAAGTTCTGTGAAGATGTCCCAGACTGTGGGACAGAGTTTGAGCTGGTGTCAGAGTAGCTCATGCTTAAACCCCACCTTTTAGAAATATTAAAAGTTTTAAGCAGGTGCTCAAGAAGTCAGAAATACAAGGCATTCTAATTGATTTACAAGTTGTGAATGCTCAAGTCTTAGTTACACATGTGGCTTGAGAGCTTTGAATGTCTTACCTGACCTCTTCAAAGTGCCTCAACTTCAACCCCTAAGTGGAAAGTCTCCAAATCTTTCCATGATTCTGTATTTTTTCCCAAATCAGTTGTATTAATAGAAATGTTACAAGACAAAATATTGTCTCCTAAAATGCATCTGCTTACTGTCTTAGCACGAGAAAAAGAGCTAACCATCTAATACCTTTGGGCATGTCTACACTAGCTCGTTAATTCGAGCTAGGTAGGCAAATCAGGGAACCGGGGTTGCAAATGAAGCCCGAGCTTTAAATATCCCGGGCTTTATTTGCATGTTCCCATCCGGCCGCCATTTTTAAATCCCACTTAGTCCGAACGAAGTTTACACGCAGAAATTTAAAGTTAATCCGAGCTACGTCATAACTATCACAAATATTTTCAAAAGCTTCAGGGGGTAGCCAAGTTAGTTTGTAACAGGAAAAACTTACAAAACAATAAATAGTCTAGTAGCACCTTAAAGACTAACAAAACACGTAGATAGTATCATGAACTTTTGTGGGCACAATCCACTTCTTCAGATGACTAAAATGTTGGAAGTCCAGATACAAGAATAAGTAAGGGAATAAATAAGGAAGGGAAAAAATGGAGGGGAGGAAGAAAAAAGAAACAGTGAGTAGATAAGCTTCAGAGGGGTAGCCTAGTTAGTCTGTAACAGGAAAGATTTAAAAAACAACAAATACAGGCAGTCCCCGGGTTACATACAAGATAGGGACTGTAGGTTTGTTCTTAAGTTGAATTTGTATGTAAGTTGGAACTGGCGTCCAGATTCAGCCGCTGTTGAAACTGACCAGCGGCTGACTACAGGAAGCCCGAGGCAGAGCTGCTATTAAGTAGATGTCAGTGTCTCTGATTCTGAGTATGCACAATGCTACCTCGCTCTAAGTGCCTGAATGCCTGTCTTCTGCCTATGCCTCAGATAGAGCCACAAACAGAAAAGTTAGGGGCTCCTCCACCTAAAATCACAAGCAGGGCTCAATACCATAGGCATGCTCAGAGGCCACCTACTGCATTAGGTATTTGGCATCCTGCTGGAGCTAGGAAACTGGACCTGGGAACTCCCAAGTAGATGACTTCACCACTGAGCTATACAGTCGGTCATTCTCTCTTCCCCTTCTCCCAGTGATTGTGCCATTGTGGATAAATATTTAAGTAGTCAGTGGGTCAGAAAGAGAGAGAGAGAATAAATGTTTCTATTATCTAGAACCTAGTCTCACTGCTACAGTCACTAGTTAGTTATGCACTATAAAACACTCTAGAACAGTTTCACCAGAAGAAAGGTGGTCACATTTAGACCACCTAGGAGGTTGGAGAATCCTCTTCAAATCCTCTCTCACCCTGCCAGGCTATAGGAAGAATTGAACCTAAAATGCCCAGGGGAGTGATCCAATCATTGGACACCGCCTCCTCCAGCTATTTTGTGAAGAGTAAGTCAGGGGTTACTAGCAACATGGGCAGTAGGTAATGTAGGCAAGGCAAGGCATAGCCTTCCCAAAACTGCCTACACGCCTAACCACCGAAAGCTGGGCTGCTGCCGGGGCAGACCAGGGCCGCGGTGCAGCAGCCCAGCAGCTTTCACCCGAAGCCCTGACTAGCAGAGACGGGGTCTCCCTGTAGCCTCAGAGAGAGAGACAGTATTTAGGACACTGCCTTTTGATGGCATCTTAGGCAGCTCCTCAACTTGCACACTGACTTTTGAGGATTGCTTTCTATGGCACCCGTCTTCCCCATTTTTTTTACAAGGAGCCCAGGTGCCTAACTCAGGATTTTGTGAATCACAATGGTGTTTCTGTGGTTTTCTAGGAGCCTAAAGTTTGGTGCTACAATGTTTAGCATTGCAATGCCTACATCCCTTTGTGGATCTTGGTGTTAGTAACTCCTGTGTATTGGTGAGCATCCTTAACTTAAAAATCAAAGGACTGGGCCCTTAGAAAGAGGATCAATGATTACAGAGTATAAAACCATGGAAAAGGAACTTTAGCTTAATGATGCCAAATATGTTTTTAAAAAGTTGTTTGTTTGCAGGTGTCCATAGCAAATGATGCTACCAATGTGACCATTTCCAAGTTAAATAGTACATCTTCATATGTTATTCAGCTCCGATGCATATCCAGTGAGGATCATCACTGTGTTTGTGTTTGGAGTGGAGAGATTTTAGTTCCTCATAGTAAGTGGCATTTCATTTTGTTGTTCTGGTGCTGGTGTGAACGAAGAAATATTTTCTGTTGTTGTATAAAGTTATGCAGCATCTATAGATTATTGGAAAAATATTAAAATTAAATTATGAGACTACGTTTCCCCATCCTTCTCTTCTCTAGAGCTGACTGACAAGCTAATAATTTCAGCTAATGAAGCCACAGAAATCTCTCCAGGAAGAATAAGTGTTTTTCTTCAATGGCAGGTAATGTGTTATTATGGGATATAGCAAAAAAAATCATTTTGGGTAGACAGGGAATTTTGTCCATCATATTGAAGTATCAGCAAATATTCTTATACCAGCAAAACTGTATTTGAATATTGTGTTGTGCACCTTTGCAGCAGCAATTCCTAGCAGGATACAGGCAGTCCCCGGGTTACGTACAAGATAGGGACTGTAGGTTTGTTCTTAAGTTGAATCTGTATGTAAGTCGGAACTGGCGTCAGCCGCTGCTGAAACTGATCAGTTTCAACCATGGATGAATCTGGATGCCAGTTCTGACTTACATACAGATTCAACTTAAGAACCCCAGGCGTCCCCCAGTCAGCCGCTGCTGAAACTGATCAGCGGCTGATTCCAGGAAGCCTGGGGCAGAGCAACTCTTCCTCGGGCTTCCTGTAGTCAGCCGCTGGTCAGTTTCAGCAGTGGCTGACTTGGGGACACCTGGGGCAGAGCAGCTGGGGTGCTGCTGGGTTGCTCCAGTAGCACGGCTCCTCGGCGCTACTGGAGCAACCCAGCAGCACCCCAGCTGCTCTGCC